TACCATACATAATACATTAAACGCCCACTATCTGCACATACACACCTACCACGGCACACGCCACACATATATCTACCATGAACATGCCACGCGTCATACATTGTGCCTATGTTGGGAATGGAACCCGGGTCTTCAGCGTAACGAGCGAACGCTTTAACCACTAGGCTACCCCGACGCCCCATATCTACTATGAACGCGCCACACGACACACATACATCTACCATGAACACACCACACATATATCTACCATGAACACACCACGAGCCACACATATATCTAGTATGAACACGCTACACGCCACACATATATCTACTATGAACACGCCACACAACACACATATATCTACCATGAACACACCACACATATATCTACCATGAACACACCACGAGCCACACACAGATCTACCATGAACACGCTACACGCCACACATATAACTACTATGAACAGGCCACGCGCCACACAAATACTTACAATACACACGCTCCACGCCACAAATATATCTACCATGAACACGCCACAAATATATCTACCATGAACACGCCACACATATATCTACCATGAACACACACAGCTTATCCATAGGAATCTTCTATACGATGAGGCACCATGTATGCATCAACCTTTGCCGCTATCAAAATTTCCCAGAAGACAAATGCCAAATGAAATGACTGAATGCTGCGAAAAAAAATATAAAATCACGATCTACGGCTCATAACTCCCAGATTATAAACTGTGTTCATAGTAGTGGGAAACTAAGGGCATAGATGGCGAGGATTTGTTTTTAAAACAATCAATTATAGGAATGATAATATTTGGTGAAATATCTCAATTTCGGAATAAAATGTCAATGACGTCCATCTTTAACTAATAACCAGCGAGACGCAGAGAGAGAAAATTGTTTTAAACATCTACACCTGAAGTAAAAATGTTATACGGTAAGAAACGACTTATGTGTGGCAAAGTACCCTTTATGACCAGAGTGCATTGCACTATCACACTAAAAGTAACACAATAACTTGGTCTCCTGTGACATTTAATATTGGCAATATATCTACGTGGCGAAGCTGACACAGTCATTGCTAATCTTCGGTTGTAGGTCAGACAGCGTGTGTAGCTCCCTCAAAGCAATTCTGGAGAGAGTCACTGCAGATTGTATTAGCCTATCATGAACTGCCCGTGGGTACGATAGCTGAGCAGTAACCAAAATAAGCAGGACCCTTGTGATGTGTGGTTGACATTGGGAGCTGACATAACACCATGGCTTATATCACTGATACTTCGTTGAATGAACAAGGCTCATGAGAGCCTTGAAGCAGTATTTGTCGCGGACTGATATACCGTATTCGACGTAATAAGCGCCCCGCTCTAATAAGCGCCCACGGCGATATTAACTAACATATTGGCTAGTGAACAATCCCAATTAGCAGCCCTTCCGATTGATCAATGTACACAAGACGTATTTATTCGTGTATGATAAGCACCCTTAATTATGGGCCATTAAATTCTCGAAAATATGTCTATCGTGTATAATACGCACAGATTCTTCTTTTATATCATTTCAGGCTGTCAGCATAAACCACAAAATTTGCAATCTTTCAACTCTGTTTTTTTTCTCATCAAAATTCTAATAAGAGCCCCTTATTTCTAATTTTGAGAGCGCCCTGGGCGCTTATTACGGCGAATACGGTACCTTTACTGTCTCTTGATTTTGGCGAGTGAGTGAGTGAGTGAGTGAGTGAGTGAGTGAGTGAGTGAGTGAGTGAGTGTCAGCCAGGTTACCCAGAGTGCCTTTCCGAGTCACGGAGTCTTACGTCTGACAGTCCATCCGAGTTACTGCACGATTTCATGATTCGACGTATTTCCAGATTGGGCTGAAGCTGTGAATCTTCATCATATGATAATTCGAGTTGTATTTTATCATTACTGAGATGAGCGACTTATGGTAACAACGATTTTATCAGTATCGCTGAATTTAACATACTTGTGTATATATTGAAGAATAAATGAATAACCTTGATCCCACCGTTGACCCCAATGGAAATATAATAATGAGTCTAATAATTGGATGGTAGGTATATATCAATAGTTTTATGTGACCCGTGAAGATTCGGGTTAATGAAAGTTCTTCAGGAACTCATGCTTGCCGTAAAAGGCGACTACCGATATCGCGTGGTCAGGCTCGCTCGTCTTCCTATCCAAATTGCATGGGACGATGCTCATCATGTCAATCACTGGATTGTCTGGTCCAGACGCTATTATTAACAGACCGCTGTCGTATAGCGGGAATATTGCTGAGTGCGGCGTTAAACAACAAACACACAAAAAATCTAACAGTTTTACGTGTAACTTTAGCATCTCAGCAGACGCATTGACCAACCTGGCTGACCCATCAACTCACTCACTCACAGACCGACGCATAGCACGTATTACTCGACTCCCGCACAGGCAAAACACTTCCGTGTCTGCTATACGGTCGCTTGGATACCAACAAGCATAACCGCAGAATCACAACGTCAACACGTATCATGAGAGTGAGTGAGTGAGTTAGTGAGTTGGGTTTAACGCCGCTTTTAACAGTATTACAGTTATATCGCGGCGTGTCAGCTTAATGTGGGAGGAAAGCCCGAAGTGATGCAGGTCCCAGACGTTTTCCACTTCGATGAAACCCACGAGCACGGGTATGGTGCTGACAAACCTATAAACAAAATCGGGGCGAACCGGGATTTGAACCCACAGTCATAGGTTTCTGGCGTGCCAAAGGGACGCAACTCTGCACATCGAATCGCGGCGCCTAAGACGACTGGGCCACCCGTGCCCCCTCAAGAGAGTGGACTGAACATACTGGCTCCCATGTGATCAATAACAGAGACACCTCCAACCCGATTTACACGAAGTTATTCAACCTGTATAACCAAATACCACACCTCCCGCTCTCGACAAGGGAAACACTCGATTCAGTGACAGTGAGTGTCATGTTCCTTCATGACTTGGTGCAAACATGGTAATTGGCAAAAACGAATGTATCATTTTTTTGCTTTGTATACTGAATTTCTTACATTTACGACGGAAAATGCTTGGTTTCAATTGTGTGTCGTTATTCTTCTCATTTGTTCAGTGTCACCTTTGGTTTCACCCTGTACATGAGAGTAATCTCTGTATACACAGATGTACGTACCTAATGTATATATGTCAGTCAGTCTCGATTATCTGGGGAAACAGATTACATATTGCGTCAAAGGCAAAATAGCGGTGAAAATTATATGGATGGAACACTGAAAATCATGTGACACCATGTGTTTACCAAAAGGTAATGCCCTACCGGTAGCAACCGCCACACATACACTTATCGTGTTTATAAAACTACTGACACTTTTTCCTATTGTATTGAAGGTATCTTTCCGTCTCGTAATAAACCTCTATGGAGGTATTAATTTTCCCCAATAAGACCTCATCCAGGGTATGAGGTTTTACGTTTTACTTGTAAGACCTGATGATTTGAGTAGCAGATAGAATTTGGATTTAGTGTTTCAAACTTCCAATGTTCTAAAATCGTGAACAAGAAATGAAACATTTTCATTGTGGATGACGGGAATCGACCCTGCAACCTCGCGTATCGTGTCAAGTTTTGTAACCTACTGTTTGCCCACTGATTCACGGAGGGAGGTGATGAAAGAATGTTCAATTTTAGATGTCATGACTTAGTTGTGTCTATGCTGCACGTGTTTTTTCCTCTCTCACGCTTTGATCGCATTCCTTTTATACCGCGACACACTGTATTGTTTTACTTTAAGATATCTCGATGTTTTCATATTTTTACTGTTATTTCTTGCATGTAGAAGGTTTATAAGTGAGATAAAGCACTCCTTTACTCGGGTTAAGTTCGTGGAAGTAAGACCTCGGCGTGCTTTATCCTTCACATGAGTACTGCAAAACAGGCTTAAATAAACGTCCTCTTGTGGGATCAAGTGTTTCTCCTTAACTATAGATACCACTTTAAGCCCCTATACGAAACGATTTGACAGTGCCTTCAATGTCATGGTCACTTGATTCGAAGAGTGCAAACGTACACGTGCGCATTGGTATGGCAAATGTGTTTACAATCCATGTTATTAGCACGGAGGGGGATGTTCAGTTGGGTAAGTCAACGTTCCTTGAATGTCCAAAGGCACTACTCTGAAGTACAAAGGAGCGTCATGTTGTACACGGGTGATCATACTTGTGGACGGGTATTCCTACAAGCTGAGATCTTCTGAAGATGTCGATCGATTCCAGTTTCAGTGATAGTGTGCTTGGTACGGTGTCAATGTTGTCACGTTTCTAAATGAAAACGACCTGGTTTCAAGCTCAGACCGGATTGTGTGTTCTGGCCAATTTCAATATCTTCCCAGAACCGTTCTCTGTTTGAAGATTTGTATCTGGGGGTGACTGTAAAATTGTGATCCAATTTGCAAGATGGATGTAAACTAATTTCTGGAGATCAGCTTGGGTCTACTGTGTACATCCTGACACGAATATGTTGTTTAAGGCGCCTTTCTAAACAACACGTCCCAAGGGTTTGGTCGAGGCTGTAACTAGATCATGGGTCCTTTATGGGCAAATTAGGCAGGGAATGCCGACAGATATTGACATAAATCCCACCGCTTATCTAGTCGATTACCTTTCGGCTTGGTCAAGGCGCACATATTGACACGAGTTTGCGCTACCGGAAGTTGATACTTAAATGAATTGCATACACTGAGTCGGGTGCTCTCCAGGTTAGCCCGACCACGCGCAAACTGGAAAAGGACACCATCTTAGAATTTTGTTTATTTGAAATAAATACGTAGAGATGGTTTCATAGACGTTTTATTAGAGTAGGCGATCTGCTTTCTATAGCAGTTAAGCCGTTGATCTATGGCCAAGAGACGGGACAAGAAAAACGCATCACATCTCGCGGGTCTCTTTCTGAGGAAAATATTGGTTCTGGGCCAATTAGCATCTATAGAAGCACTCCGTGGAAAATCACTTCCAAATCACATTCGAGAAATCGGCTGGGGACAAAACGGCGCGGAAAATTCATTTCTGGCCTCATTCATATCTGTAAAAGTCGAGGCTCTGTCAACTGAACAGTACCGGGTGTTATTGACGGAGAGGCGATATTGATGTAGACCCGAGCAACAGCGCCACGTGGAAAACAGTCGAGATGTCTGCAGACACGGGAATGCACTTCTGCTTACTGGTGTGAACTGTCGTCTGCTTCACTTCGTATCGTCTGCTATCAACTCAGAGGTGTCTACACTCTCTGAAGTAAGTGTTTACATCTTGTTCCAACTGGGACATCAGTTGAGGTTTGTATTACCGAAGTTACATAACTCTGTGTTGGTGAAATGGATATATACGTACCGACATAGGTAAACACGCACATGTCATTTCATAATTTCACTGGTGTCATCACAGAGATCCATTCATATAATTTTCAGCGCTTATTTTGCCTGTTAGTCGACATGGAATCTATTTCGGCAGAAAATTGAGACTGATTATTTTCTGGCGTTGAAGTTTGATATTTATGACGGCATTATTAACATTCATACTTTATATTTGAAAACTATATTAGTTCGATATATTCATTTCATGTATTATCCACCATCATAGTGTATGGTATTATATTTAAATCATTAGTCTTTACTAACGTTACATGGTTCTACACAGTGTTAACTGTAGCTACCAGTGATCAATGGGATGATATTGATGAAGGATAATGAGATTGTGGAAAATTGAATACCAAGCACATTATTGTTCATAAACGATGATGGGTATATAAGTAAATAGGGTGAGTTTGAAGTGTATTAGGGCACTGGTGCTTTTAGTTTCATTGTAGACAATTTATATTTCCAATCTGACACACCAGAGACCAAAATGATGTCCAATGTCATTCCCTAATTTGACTTATACCATATGTTCATGTTTATCCAGTTGAACACTGAATTTCCTTTTGCATGTGTGTGACAAAACGTTCAACAGGTTGACTTCCACTTTTAAATAGTTAACTTTCCCTTTATGTCAAACACTATTCCAACAGCTCCAGCCTTTGGTGTCCACAATTCACAACTTTTGAGGTACAGTCGAGTATGCTCTGTGAAGATTTCACAGATCGTCATACGACTCATTGCTCAAAGGCTGCTTGAAAAAGGCTACAACATTAAAGGCCTCAGTAAAACCTTCGAAAGGTTAATGGTAGACATGTGGAGGATATTTTCAAATTTGACGCATCAGAGACCAAAATATTGTCAGATGCAATTCCCTATTTTGACTTATACCATATGTTCATGTTTATTCAGTTGAAAACTAAATTTCTTTTTGCATGTGTGTGACAAAACATTCAACAGGATGACTTCCACTTTCCCTTTATATCGAGCAACATTCCAACAGCTCAGCCTTTGGTATGTGGAGGACATTTTCAAATTTGGCGCATGAATTCCCTATTTTGACTTGTACCATATGTTCCCGTGTTTTTGCAGGTGAACAATTGACTTGTTGTTGTCTGTGAATGTGACGGGTGCCACCGGGGCGTGTGTGTGTGTGTGTGTGTGTGTGTGTGTGTGTGTGTGTGTGTGTGTGTGTGTGTGTGTGTGTGTGTGTGAGAGGGGGAGCAGTATACGCTCACCTATTCGAAGGTGATTGAAGGATTTATGTTTCGGGTATTGTCAGGTACAGGGGCGGTCGGGTAGCCTAGTGGTTAAAGCGTTCGATAGTCACGCCGAAGACCCGGGTTCGATTCCCGACATGGGTACAATGTGTGAAGCCCATTTCTGGTGTCCCCCGCCGTGATATTGCTAGAATATTGCTAAAAGCGGCGTAAAACCATACTCCGTCAGTCAGTCAGGTACAATCGACTCAGCTTTTGACAGATATACATGTATCTTATAAATATGGAAACAGTAAAATCAGGGTATAAGAATAATGAATTCTGAAAATGGCAAATACAATGATCATACTTCATCTACTTAATATGAAGCCAATATCTTACGTCCCCTGCCGTAATATTGATGGAATATAAGAGCGGCGAAAAATCATACTCACTGACCCACCTATCTACTGATCTTACTTGATAGGTTACAGGTGTGTTGAAATGTACCAGGTGGTTAGTGAATGTTACCATAATTATGCTGTTTGCATCCAAACGAGTAGTGTAGCCATATCCTTTCGATATAGGTAGGAAGTGTTTAAAGCGTTGGCTCGTTTCGCCGAAGACCCGGGTTCGATTTTCGACATGGGCATATTGATAAAGGCGACATAAAACATCATTCACTCACGCACCAACGTTTTGAACGGGTAAGTGTGATTTATTATTTTCACTACCATTAGCCAATACCGTATTTTCATATACATGGCACAATTGTGTATATAATAGAAAGATGAATTTGAGCGTATATTTGATATAACTTTGATGGAAACCCCCGAAAACAGTAATGTATCGAAGTAATTACAACAATAATATACTTGAAGTGGATGACGGGTATAGTCATACATTCTATTTTGTTTAAACTGTACATATGGTGACTTTATCTGAAAAGGGTTCGGGTAGGCAGGCTCAGCGTCTAATTTGTCTGATGGGGTTGATAGTTGTTCATGGTTTCAGTCACTGGTTTTCAGACTCGACCATTTCCAGGTCGTCTTGATAGAACTTGCATATGTCTGATTGCGGCGTTAAACGGCATTCACTCACTTAGTTGTCATTTAGTTCACGCACGGCGTCTGTTTTATGTACCACCGGCTACGTAGGGGCGGTCGAGTAGCCTCGTGGTTAAAGCGTTAGCTCGTTACGCCGAAGACCCGGGTTCGACTCCCGACATGGGTACAATGTGTGAAGCCCATTTCTGGTGTCCCCCGCCGTGATATTGCTGGTATAATGCTAGTAGGGGTGTAAAACCATACTCATATACTCCCGGCTACGTACAGGAACCACAATTAGTGTTTTCAGGTTTTGCTTTAACTGTTCATGGAATCGGAACGTATATTACAGTGGGTATAAGCAGTAGACACCGACAGTTATCAGACACCACCTGATTCCTCTGTTTGCTCCATGATCAACGGATAAACAGTAGTCAGAGACAGTTACGTCCCCTTGGCACGCCAGGAACCTAAATGTGAATGTTGATTCGAATCCCTGTTCGCCCCAATTATGTTTCTAGGTTTGTCAGCACCATACCTGGCTCCTTTGTTTCATCAAAGTGGTAAACGTCTGAAAGCTGCATCGACCACTTTCGACTTTTCGAATCCCTTGGGCACGTCAGCAACCTATGAGAACGTCTGAGACCTGCATCACTTCGGGCTTTCCTCCCAAATTAAGCTGACATACCGTGATATAACTGGAATACTGTTAAAAGTGGCGTAAAAAAACATACTCTGGTTTTTACAATGCTTTTTGAAGAGGGGTCCAAAGTCAGAATTTTGTACCGAACGTGGAGATCTTTCGAAAATTAGCGACAAAACCATTTCAATATACCGAGAAATCCCTACTAAATGCACAGTCCGTTGTACGATGCCGACTTTACCATAAATATGTCTCTTTATGAATAATTCTCAAATACGTACAGGAACAAATGATGTATTTCTTCTTTGCTAGAGGGGGCGGTTGGGTAGTCTAGTGGTTTAAGACTTCGCTCGTCACGCCGAAGACCCGGGTTCGATTCCCGACATGGGTACAATGTGTGATACCCATTTCTAGTGTCCCCCACCATGATATTGCTGGAATATTGCTAAAAACGGCTTAAAAACCATGCTCACTCACTCTTTGCTAATAGATCCTTGACCTGATGCTAAATGGGTTCTGACACTTGAAACATATATGAAGTTTACGATATACTTAATTAAGGCTTCGAGTGGCACTTAGTGATGCACATAAGAAAGTCCAACTTCTATATTATGAGGAACACAGCGTTTCGGAGAATATGCTTACTGCTTCATCAGGTGAATGAGTACTAAGTTCACCTGATGAAGTTGAAGCATGTACTTCCTCTTATTATATTTCATTTGATAAAGTTTCATTTAGTTTCAGTAGGAGTTAATTTATTATTAATGTGTTGAAGGCATATTATAATCTTCGAAGAAGACATTTTGGTATTATGTACCTTATGAGTTGGTATCGGGCGGTCGGTTAGCCTAGTGGTTAAAGCGTTCGCTCGTCACGCCGAAGACCCGTGTTCGATTCCCGACATGGGTACAATGTGTGAAGCCAATTTCTAGTGTTCCCCACCATGATATTGCTGGAATATTGCTAAAAGCGGCGTAAAACCATACTCACTCACTATGAGTTGGTATCTCTGGATTAGACATAATAGGTCAACATAGCTTGTGAGGAGGCACGTTTAGAAGTGTTCACTGGGAATAGGTATCTTGGGAGAAGTCATGCTGGGAGGAATCATTCTCGGAGTAGGCATGTGAAAACAGCTGCCTCGCTGACACATTATTGCTGCAGGCTTCCCTGAATCACGTCACCTACACTGGTTCATCATAAGTCTAGGGCAGAGGTCTAAGTGCAGGCAGTTAGTGTTGCATTGCAGTAATCACCCCTGGCGTCCAATGTGCAATTCCGTCATGAGGTTAGGTGCAGCTACTGATAAAAACACAGTGAATGAGTGAATAGGATTTAACGCCGCTTTTAACAGTATTCCAGTTATATCACGGCGTGTCAGCATAATGTGGGAGGAAAGCCCGAAGTGATGTAGGTCTCAGACGTTTACCGCTTCGGCGAAACCCACGAGCACGGGTATGGTGCTGACAAACCTAGAAACATGATAAAGACACAGACTCTGCCGGACAAAAGAAAGTATACCCCCATGTTTGATGGTGGCTAAAAATGAAACAAACAAGAAGTGGTTAATTGACGGTGATGATTTTTGATACGGGTATCACAGTTGTGTTTTGGTCCTCAAGTTTATAGTTTTGGGAAGACTTTTTTCAGCTGAGGTTCGTTTTTATAAGATTTGTAATTTTTTTGACAAATCAAATTTTCTGTTGTATTTCTTTGCCCACTATTTTAATAACGAAATGTCACTAAGCATAATATAAAAAAACCATGTGATTTAGTCTTTTTACTTAAGCATTTCTTGAGAGCGTTTTGCTAGATGTAACTTTGTATTCGAGCGTCTTTAAGGTCATACATGTGTGGTAGCTGTGATCGGTTTGAGACGCCCACATTTCCTTGGTCGCCATTACCTAGCTAGTTATGCGTAGGCGTGCATAACCAAATCTACCATGGTCTGTAAGTTAACATAATAACTGTCTTGATTAAAGCTCCTCTCGACAATTATAGCACATTGTCCTATTCAGTTTACCCTTGACGATA